CACCCAGCCAAGTCGGGGTTGAACTTCTCACCATCCCCACGAGAAACTATGGCTTAGATCTGTCCTGGGGAGCTGGCCTCCTCATACAAGGTAACTCGGCCAGGACCATGTGGGTTCGAGTCTGCTGCTGGCTGGTTACCCGGCAGAGAACTCGCACCCTGAACACGAGCTGGGCGCGGCCAGAGAACGGAATCCGGTTCACGGGTGAGTGACGGGTTCCTGAGGCTCCCGGCTGGTAACCTGAGCCTAGCGGGTTCGAAAGGGACTTGAGTGCTCATTCTATCCAACATCCTCATCCGTTAGATGAGGGAACAGAGGCCCCGGATCACACAGCAAGTAAGAAACATCAGGTTTCTCACTGAGATGGCTTATAGTTGAATGACTTGCTCTGTAAACCCATTTGATGTCAGCTGGGCTGTTTCAACTTTTTATACATAGATAAAAATAGGTACCAAGATCCAAACTCACCGTTCCCCATCTCTAGGGCCTCCAACAAAAGGGCCAGCAAAGGGCTGGCCTTTCCTGCTGCTTTTTAGGAAGGCATCTCTCTCCTCCCTCATACCAGCCCCACTCCCGACCCCATCCCAATCCCTGGGAGAGTACCTCACTCAAGCCAAAGGAGACCCATCTTTGCCAGCGTAGAAACATGGAGCCAGGCTGAAGGGTTGTGGTTTTCTCAAAGTGCTTTTATTGGTTCAATGCAAAGTCAGCCTCTGCCTACTTCCTGGACGTCCTGCAGCCGGCTCCCAGGGGTCTCCCCACACCCAGCGTCTGTTTTGGGCCACGCGGGCTTCCCAGCTCCCGAGCTCTCCCTCCATTTACCCTGTACTTCCGGACTCAGCAAACAGCCCCGGAGCCCTGTCTGCCCCGCGGGCAAACACCCCGGGGACTTGACTTGGGGACCGGCTTAAACATATTGCACATAAGCACTAGCTGCTTTCCTTCCGCCCCGGTGGGAAGGGGTGAGGGGGTCCCTCTTCTTTGGCCAACAAAACCATGAGGTTCACTTTTATTTGCTACCGCACACGCGATTTCTTCCCTTAGATCTGAGGGTAGCTGCTAGATCTCAATGCTAAGAAAAACACTGCCGTTTTGATGTGAGTCAGATCAACCAGTCCTCCAGGGCTGATTCCGCTTCACAGCCGGGACGGCCCATCTCTCAAGCTTCAGGCTCGGCTGTGATTTCAACTGAGCCCAAGGCTTGGGATGAGGTTCTCACCTGTCCATGCAGAAGGACCGCGTGTCAACACCCTCCCTGCCGCCCCCAGCCGCCACTTGCACGGTGGCCTCGGCACGCATGTTGCACACGCCTGGAAGACACTGCTCTCAACACATCAACAAGCAGAGGCTTTATGCAACAAGAAACCTCTTAGTGCATCTTTTCCTGCGTCAGGACTTGGGCGCTGAGTGTTTGCAGCTCAGAGCTCTCCTCCCTTCCTCCTCCTGCCCCCAGAGCCCCGGAAGCCCCGCCTCTCCCCTGAGCACAGTCACCACGCAGCACTGCAAGACCTCACGGCGGATGCAGACCCCTGACTCGTGCTCTTAGACCAGTTTCCTGGCTTGGGAGCAAGATGTGAGGGGCTACGGGGGGTGGGGGCCTTCTCTGCACTCCATCCACTCATATTCTTTACCTCTTTGATGCATTTTCCTTCGGTCACCAGAACCCCCAAGCGTGAGGATTCTGATTCAGCCTTGTACCGACTGAGGAAGGAGATGGAAGAATTCCACTTAGCGGTTGGATCGGACATTTTTGCAAACACCAGCACAGCACAGGGACGGACAGTACAACCTGCCCGGCGTGGGCAGCTGTCGACACGGTCTACAGTAAGCTTTTATGGCAATCACATGTAAACATCATCCAGAGCAAATACGAGGACAGAGCTACGATGAGATGGTTGCCAATAGCAGCTGCTCCCTCTGGGTTACTCCTTAATGTGGTGGGCAAGAGACCAAGGTTGCCTAGTTTTCCTGGAGGAACCCCGGAGTCTCCTTGGTTAATAATACACAGCACCGAATGAGTCGTCCAGATAGAGGTTATCTGCAGGGTTGGTCAATTTTAGAAGAACTTGCAGCCTTTTGTGGACGGGATGGCAAGCAGAAACCCTGCGGGATGCTCTCGGCAGACATCCTCTCCCGCCAGCGGCCAGCCCTGACTTTAGGCACGTTACCTCCCAACACCGTGCGCAGATCTCGACTCTGCTCAAGGGCCAGTATCTAAGTAACCTCAAGGGTCCTGTGTTAACCTGACTGGGAAGGGCAGCCTCGGCTGACCCAGAAGACAGGAGCGGCTTAGGCAACCTCCAGGCCAACTCTTCCTGGTGCAGAAGGGTGGGGGAGGGACTCTGTGACTTAGCAAGGTCACAAAGCAAGTTCTTGGTGGAGCCAGGCCTCAACCCAGCTCTTCCAGACTCTGAATCTAGAGCTCCTTCCTATTGGCTTCCACAGGATAAAACCTCAGCATACTCCTTGGTGCAAATCAGGACGCAGTGGGGGCAGCAGACAGATTTAAATTCTATTCTATTGCATTCCATAACCATTTATTTATGTGCCTACTGTATGCTAGGCAGTGAATAGCTATTAAAGGAATTTACAATGTTCAGGTCTGTGCTGTGGATAGTCCCTTTCTTGGTTCATCCTCACAAACCCCGCCTCCCTCAAACATTTCATGTCCGCTATTCCATTCGCTCCCCCCACTCAAGTGGGGGTCATGTGTCACAGTATTATTGCGAGTCCTGTGCCAACGAATGGCCTTAGGGGGATTTTCTCTCACAGATCAGGACGCGATAGGGATGGGCCGACGTGAAACCCAGCCACCATTTGGTTCTGTATAATGGGAACCTTTCGAAGATCAGACCAGGTTAAACTCTGATCCGTCAGTAATGGCTGCCCAGAGCACTGTGTTGAGGATCCTAATAGTTAGTATGACCAAGCTCAAAGAACATGAGTGCTGTGGTCGATTAGTTATGTCTGCCACTGGCCAAGGAGGTGGAAGTAGTGGTATATGTGCCATATATGTATTTGCCATCCCGAGCTAGAGACCACCTTCACAGAAGCTAAGACTCTCAGAGCCGGCAGGAACCTTGGAGATCAACTTGCCTACTTCCCCTCAGTCCATTTCAGAGAAAAGAATGTGGGGGCCCAGAGCGGTCAAGTGACTTGATCCCCAGGAGCTCAGATTCCCTATTCTCTCTAAAGCCTGTTTCCTCCAGTCTTCTCTGTGGGCTGGGAGTATTCTCACCTCCCAGGACAAGCTCGCTTTCCCAGTATACCTACTAAGGTACTTGATAATCTTTAAAAAAAAAAAAAAAAAAAAATCAACTACCAATTCTCAAAGTTCTAAAGCCTGGCAGTAGCAAAAGATTAAATTAGCTTGTTTAGTTTAATGAGTCAATTTCAAACACTGTTAAAGCAAGCAGGACTTTTTCTCTTTCCTTTTCTTTTCTTTTTAAGACAGAAACTTCCCAAGGGACCCTGATATATGAACGAGATTAAACTGGAGCCACTCTGTCTGAGGCAGAAGCAATGAGCTCACACCCAGCCTGGCCACACTTCCCCAAGGCACCTGCACAACATCCAAGCTGGACATGGCTTGACATCACTCAAGAATATCAAGTTTACGGTAAAGCCCAATCAGAATGTGGTCTGGATGGCAAAGGACCTTGGAGATGGTCTTATCCACCCTCGGTCCTCACATGCCCTCCTGCTACCCCTGCCCCATCCACCGAAGCAACTTTCCAGGTGAAGGAAAGGGAAAGACAAGCCGGTCGGAGTGGGATGGGTTGGTGGCTGGTCCCAGCAAGGACGGCTGCTTTTGGATCACCCTGCCTGTGCCATCCCAGGCGTGTCACTGAAGCTCTCATGGCATGTCCACAGAGCCCTCTGGATCCAGACGCAGGTCCAAATCTAAACCCGCCTAATCCTGGCAAGGCAGTTGGTGACTTAACCCTCAAAGTGAGCCCGGAGACTTCTAGTCTGGGGCCCAATGTTGCTCAACTCACCTCTACCAGTCCCTGTGACTTTATATCTTTACCCCACTACTGCAGGAGCATGGGACCAGGAATCAGGAGGCCTGGGCTGGGGCACCGCTCTGCCCTCCCACTGGCCGTGGGACCTCAGGCCCGTCATCTCACCTCTTGGGGCACTGCCCGCCTCACCTGGAAAAACAAGAACAGTGCAGCTCACCCCTGCCTTCCTCACGAGGTTCGCCAGGATCCGAGTGCGCCAGGCCAGGCACAAGCTCCGGGCACGAGCTGGCACCAGATGAGGGTTCTGACTCTAACTGGACCCACCCTTGCTCAGTGAGACACCGAGGGCAGAGCACGGCAGAGAAGTCCCAGAAACCTCTCCCCTCTGCTCCTCGTTGCGGCTGCAGGCCGCACTTCCCTGGGGATCAGCCTCCCGGCCGCCCGGCGCCTCTCGAGCATTCTGGCAGAGGGAGCGGAGCAGCTCAGTGGCAAACACCTCGCGACAGTGCATAGTTAAAAAATCAAGGAAGCGATACGATAATCCCAGGCACAGTACATCTGAGCCATAAATACGTTATTTGAAGGATATACTTTTTTTTCTTCAATTAAAAATGTGTTTATAATCCTGATTCTATTCACGAGTAACAATTTCATCATCACATACTACGGACAAGAAATGTTATGGTGGACACAGCTGCACGTCTACGAGGGAAGTCGGTCGGGAAGGAAGGGGGAGATGGGTGACTGACCCAGCACTTGGAGGCGCACCCGGGGCCACCCGCCGGAAGCGAGGACACTAAGTGGCAGTGGGACATCAACACCATGGAAACTCACAGACAGAAGCAGCTTTGTTCAATGTAAACATTGATTTTTTTTTTTTTAAAAGGACAGCAGTCTCAAGTGTCTCTCTCACGTGTGTTCTCTCACGCGCTCGCTCTCTCGCCTTCTCATATACTTAATTTCTTTGAAAACGTAAACATATTGGAAGGGCCTTGTCTGAGGTATTGAGGTATTCCTCGAAGGTTAAGGCTGTTATCAATGCAGGCTCTGCTGGGCCTCCTTCAGTAAGCTGTCAAAATCCATGGCTTCGTACTTGTTTTTCACGGATGCAGGAAGGGTCTCTTCTGAATTGGAATCTGGGCAGGGGGTGGAGGAGTCAAGGAGAGGGGAAGGCAGTGAGCCACTCAGAAAGGCCAGGCGATCAGAAAATCTGCCACTGGGGTCAGCCCCATGGGGTGCATGTGGCCCCAGGCCTCCAAGAACACCAGACAGCAAGAATCACCTTTGCCATTCTACCGTGACACCACTGCCCTGTCGTCAGTGTCTCTCGGCCTCGGCTGCCCTGTTTCTAGAATGGGGTGGCCTGAACCAGAGCACCCTAGAGCTCCTTCCTAGCTCTGATATCCCATTAATCTATTTCCCTAAGAGCTTCCTGCCGGCTGGTGAACCGCTGCGGAGGTCACGGAAGGTGGCCACCAGAGCTAGGATGCCCTCATTGTAGAGATACGGAAGCAGGTCCCCATGGGTGGCCGTGCAGCCAGGTGGAGCACTGCCCAGCCTGGAATCCTCCTCGGTTTACTCACACTCAGCCCCGTACTACAGACCCCGTGTCAGACTCTCCTCTACAGATAATTCTCTCCTAAATTGTACTTCTTTGTCCTTCTTCACCAACTCCTCTCCAAATGTGAGAGCACGGTGACAATATTATTTCATTGTGGCCCATTAATGGACAAGGCTGCCTGCTGCCTGTTGGGGTCACCATGGAATGCCCCTCAAGGCGGCAGTGCAGCCACTGGCCCTGTGAGGTCAAAGAGACAGTAACCATCGTTCTACCAGCTGGCTGTGAACACAAGACTAGACCTTCCAAGTGGCCACAGGAGGCTTGAATCTGGTACCAGTCTTGGGAGAGGACAAGATGGACCAGAGACCAGAAGAAAAGCAAGATGGCGGCCTCCAGGCGAAGTGGCTGCAAAGTTACCCAATCGGCACATTAGAGCTTTGGCGTGGGAACTGGGTCCAGAGGGGGCTTTGGGTGTGGGTTTCATTAAAGGAGGTCACTGCCCCTCATGCCTTGGGTCTCACTGGAAGGTGGCGGGGCCTTGTGTACTTACCATAGTCAGTGTGTCTGGGCCAGCAAAAGTGCTGGAGCCCTCCATAGCTCAGCTGGAAGGAGGGCTCGTTGCGTTTCCGCAGGGCAGCGCCGTTCCTCAGAGACAGGGCGGCGTGCTCAGAACACCGGTAGGTGATGAAGCCATACTTCTCGCCTCTGTGGGGAGAGGTCAGGGGGAGCACGTTACTGGGCCAGCTTGATTCATACCCTCAGACCACCCACTACCAGAGGCAGAGCAGAAAGCCACACTGATTCAGTAACCATGGCCGCTTGCCCCCCGCCCGCCCCAATACAGATGAGGGCAGTCGCTAGGCTGACCTCCACTGTGTGAGAACAGTAAGAGCAGCTGATTCCCAGAACATCTGCCGGGCGCCTCACTCTTCAGATCACCCTGCCACTGGCCACTGGCATTTTCTCCCCGCTCAGGGATGAGGAAAACAGGCTCTGCGGAGTTCAGAATTTGCCCCAAGGCAATGGCAGGCAGGGCATTTAAACTCAGGCCTCCCACCATGAAAGCTGATGTACTTCTCTTGGACCTGTGGCACCTAGGCCCCCACCCTTCCCTCCTGCCTCCTTCAAAGCCAGCCTCAGCTACCAGCACCTTGGCTGCTGCTGACTTAGCCTCCCCCTTCCCTAGTACAGCTGGCATTCTGTACACATCATCCTTTATGGTGAACACCTCTCTGCTTGCTCAGCAACTGAGCCACGTGTTCAGCCGGGCTCAGGGCACCAGGGGATGTCACACGACGGTGGCCCTCCCTGGCCACAGTGATGCATTCAAGGATGAGCCTGTCACCCAAAGCAGAGCCTCAGGGTGCATCCCAGCTCTTGGCCCCAACTGTGAGGGAGACTCCTGCTGCCCCTGGTAGGAGGTACATAAGCTTAGACGTGGAGGCGGCCATTTTGCCACCCGAGGGAAGCCTGCTTGAGAAGGGTGCTGAGGCGAAGGGGGGCCTAAGGTCGGTCCTTTCCCCAGCTCCTCAGTTCCACAAACAGCAAGAAAAAGAATCCTGACCGATCTGTCCCTCTGCTGCGTGCACTCCTCAGGGCAGAGACAATGTGGACTTCTGCTACGGCTCGCGACAGGCTTACCGACACTAGGCACCTAATAAGTACTCAGCTGGTTCACATTTCCTGACACCTCTCTGAACCAGGCCAAAGTTGGACCCCTTCTGCCTCTTTCAATGTCCAAGCCTGCTTGCTTTATTTTTGCACGTTCTCTTTGTTTGACGTCCTGAAGACTGCACAGAACTTAAAACCATCCTATTTGTGTAACGACTTTCTCTTTTTAAGTTGTGGTAAAAACACAGAACACACAAAGTACCATTTTTATGGTTTTTAAGTGTACAATTCAGTAGTGTTAAGTGTATTCACGCTGCTGTGAACGGATCTCCACTTTCTCTGCTTGCTGTTCCCAGGAATCTGACTACTGCCGACACCTCACAGAAGTGGAACCCATATTGCATTTGTCCCCTCGTGGCTGCTTATTTCACGTAGCCTAATGAGGTTATCCATGATTGTCAAGGTTCATCCGTGCTTGCAGCATGCGACAGACTGCCTTTTTTTTTTTTTTAATGTTTAAAATATTTATTTTTGAGACAGAGAGAGACAGAGCATGAGTGGGGAAGGGGCAGACAGAGAGAGAGAGAGAGAGAGAGAGAGAGAGGGAGACACAGAATCCAAAGGGGGCTCCAGGCTCCGGCTGTCAGCACAGAGCCCGACACGGGGCTCAAACTCACGGAGTGTGAGATCATGACCTGAGCTGAAGTTGGACGCTTAACTGATGGAGCCACTCGGGCGCCCAAGATTTCCTTCCTTTCTAAAGCTGAATAATATTCCTTTGTTTGCATGTACTACATGTTATTTCCCCATTTATGAGCCAATGGGCATGGGGGTGGTTCCCCCTTCTTGGTTATTGTGAATAATGCTCCTATAAACAGGGACGTGCGAATATCTCTTTGAGATCTCTTGTTTTCAGTTCTCTTAAGTATATACCCACGGGTGGGATTGCTGGATCGGATGGTAATTCTATATTTAACTTTTTGAAGAACCTCCGTACCATTTTCCATTGTGGCTGCACCATTTTACCTTCCCACCAACAGTGCACCGGGTTCCGATTTCTCTACATCCTTGCCAACACTTATTATTTTCTGGAGCCACCTTAATGGATGTGACGTGTGTAATGATCCCTATGTAGAAACAAGTTTCTCATTGAAGTTTTTAAAACGATTATTAAATTTGAATTTAAAAACCTTCAAAGCTCAGTTGGCAAATACGATGGGAGATACTTTAGAGTTATTTCAAAACTGACAAAGTTTTGACATCTAAGTCGTGTGTTTACATGCAACCTATGCTTCCTGCATGCGGGTTCCCTGACAGATGAACACTGCTTCCCCAGGTGAGTGAGGAGAAACAAAGATTCCCAGCAGAATAAAGGGTCTGACCTGGCTGCTCTGGAGGAACAGAGGGGCATGAGTGGCACAGGTCCTTGCAGGGCAGTGTGGTTCCTGTGTAAGTGTCCCTTTAAGCCCCGGGGGGCTGTTTGCTGCCCTATATCAGAGTGGAGACCTAAAGCAGCTATGAGAGCTGCAGATTTGACTCTGCTACTAACTAGCTGCTCAGTTAATCTGTCTGAGCTGCCCGGGAAGGGAAAGCAATAGAAAGAATGAGTGCATATGTCATAGGCAGGTTAGAACGTTTAAGAGAAGGCACAGGATTTGCCTGGCAGTCAGCAAACCATCAGTGGGAGTTTACAGCTTATTATTGGGCCACACAGTTGTTACTGGACCTTCTGTGGGACCTGGCTCTCCAGGTCCAGGCTGCGGATCTCAGCAGATTTGTTCTGCGGATCTTCTCCGGCATCTTTTGTGTGGCTGGCCCTGGACGGGGACCCCTGCCCTTCCCCACTCCCCTCTCCTGCAACAGCTTGACCGGACTCACCTGTTGTTTCTCGTCAGCACCTGGCACTCCACAATCTCACCGAACACTTCGAAACGCCTCTTCAGCTCTCGGGAGCTCATGTCACTGGAGAGATTGCGAACATATACCACACGGCCTTCACCCTGCTCAAGGAGGGAAACACACAGAAACCCAGTCATTTCCTGGCTTCCTGGGACCCGCTTGATAGGGGGCTTCTATGGAGTCCTAGGTCTCAGCCCACAATGTCCGGCTGAAGGGGTAACACTAACTGGGACGGAATCAGAGAGAGGACAATGACAGCTCCTCTCCGGAAGACCTGCCTTGTTGGAGGAGGGGGCTGCTAAGTGTCGGACGGGGAAGTGGCTTTAAACGGAGCAAATGCTCACTTGGAGGAAACGAGCAGAGAATGGACAGAGGCAGGAGGGGGGAGTTTATCATCATTAATCTAACTGCTTACTCATATTTGTGTTTGGAGTCTGGGATTTTTTCTGCGTAGTGGGGAGGGGATAGGAAGGCAAGCTGCCGGGGCATCTAGATGGCTCAGTCGGTTAAGCGTCCGACTTTGGCTCAGGTCGTGAACTCGAAGGTCTTGGGTTTGAGCCCCATGCTGGGCTCTGTGCTGACAGTGTGGAGCCTGAGCCCTCCCTCTCTCTCTCTCTCTCTCTCTCTCTCTCTCTCTCTGCCCCTCCCCCACTCGCACTCTGTCTCTCTCTCAAAAATAAAGAAACATTAAAAAAAAAAATAAGAAGAAAGAAAGAAAGGCAAACTGCCGAGGATGGGAATGGGCAGGCATGGGAAACCAGGTCGTTGTGGGGGTCACAGTGAGCTGGGAGGAAGGCAGTGGGACCAGGACACAGGTCTTGGGGTCACCGCTATCCTCAGTCTTGCCAGGGCAGTGCATAGACAACTGTGACTAAGGGGTCACTTCAGGTGAGCCGGGTGCCATGCTGCGGGCCCCTAAAAGAGCCCAGCAGAGGGAGGGGTGGGGAGCAACCCAGGATGGAATGTGCCCTCCCCTCCCCTCCAATCTGTGATTGGATCCAGTGAATGCCATCGCTGCTCTGACCCGCTGGAGAAACTCCGGCTGCGTCCTGGAAACCTGTGCTCCCGTGGGTGAAAGTGACAGGTTCTGGTTTGGACAGGCTTTCTCCGGGAACAGGTTAAAGCCATCTGGAACCACCCCACTCTCATCTCCCAGCTGGCAGGGAGGAAACAAGGCCCAGGGGCCACAGCAGGCCTCTGCTGTCAACCATGGGAACTGGGTTCTGCTCAGTGTAGGAATCCCCTCCCCCAGCCTCCTTTCAGCTCCTTACGCTGGGAAGTTCTTTCCTGCCTCTGCCCCATGGTTCTCCTGAAACTACGTGGTGGCTCCTTTCATCTGTCAGGGTCTAGCTCCTCGCAGATGTCCTTCCTAGACTGCCATGTAAACACATCCTCCCCACTAGTCAAAACACGACTGTTTGTTTCAGAGAGTTTAGCCTCATGTGATTAATTCCACCGCGCCTCTCCCAATCTCTGATTACAGTGTTTATTCCTTGCTTACGAGTCTGTTGCCTTTCTCTCCCTTCTGCCCCAGCCACGGGAATGAGGACCTTGTCTGTCTTGCTCGTGCCAGGCACGGCCCCACTGCTGAATGGTCACACGTGGAATCCAAGGTGATGCTCCAGGCACAGCCTGTGGTTGTAAGTACCTGCCCGCAGGCAGCTGGGTACCTCTGGGGTACACACACCTCATGTGTCCTCCCTGCTTCTGCCCGGAAGTGCCAGTTATGCAGGAAAGCAATCAAGTGCAAGCCTGTTTGTCTTTCTGAGCATCTGTCTTACTTTCTCTTCCCTTCTTTCTAGTGACATGGAGGGGCTGGCTCTGGCTCCCCACTGCAGATTCCTGATGAATTTTCTCTAGGTGCTTTGCAGTGGGTTCACCAGGCACAGCCTGGGCCCATAAACTAACTCTGGGGGAAGATCAGGGGGGTCAGTAGGAAGCAAGAAGCAGGCTTCTCCTGGTCCCTCAGACCAGATCAAGCTGGGGGATGCTTAGGAAGGACAAGGCCCAACTCCTTTGTGTATGGATGAGTAAACTGAGGCTCAGGGAAGCTGGGAGACCTGCCCAAGGTCACACAGAGGGTGGTACCAGGGCTGGTTTGTGGCCTGGCTGGCCCTGCTCTGCTCCTCCCCGCCCCCAACCGCAGCCTGCCCTCTCGGCCCTGCTAAGCCTCTGACGTTCAGCCCTAAAATCACCACCCACTACATGCCTCACTGCCAGTCCCTCGGCCGCACTTTGCACGATGCCACCTCTGATGCCCTTTGGTGACCCTGGTGCTTCTTTAAGTGAGAGAAACGTGACTATCTTCTGCAGGCCACAGCTGGCCTCAAAGAGCTTCGGGTCTATGAAGCCCCCGCGCGTCCTGATGCCCCTGCTCTTCCCCATTCACTCCGGGCTCCGGGGCCCCAGATCACTTACAATGGCCTTTTCCCGCCGCTTCCTGGCATGCCGGACACTTGGCGTTCCGTCTGAACACGGTCCTCTGCTCTCACACCTGTCGGTGAACAAGCAAACCAGAGGCACTCACTCTCAGGAGGGACCACGGCAGGGTGGGCGGGTGCAGTTGCTCCCGGAAGCGAGTCACGCTTCTTTAGAACTTGCTCATGAGGGCAGAAGGAGCCCAGCACGCCCCGTCCCCAGCAGTGGCAGCCCGGGGCTGGGCATGGCTCTGTACAATGTGACCGGCGCCTCTGGCCAGCCTCTGGGACGAGATCACTGGGGACCACCGTGTCACGAAATCCCAACCCGCCTGAACCTCGCCTTTTTATGCCATTAGGGGTGGAAAGGCCCTCTCACTTCATCACTGTCTGGGACCTGATGGGGGGAAAACAACCTTTGAGGTCTTACGTTTCCCCATTTTCCAGATGAAAACCCCGAGGCTCAGGTTCAATATGGGTTTGCCTAAGGATGGAACGTGGGGAAGCCAGAGCCAGGAGGAGGTCTGCTGATCCTGGACCCACTGCTGTCTAATGGCTGGCGCCCAGGCACGAGGCAACCCGGCCCTCACAGCCCCCACGTCCAGTCTGGCTATCAGGCTCAGCAGCCCGCATGCGCCGCCCGGGGACACCCCTGGGTGCCACACGCCTGCGTCTTCCCGCCTGTCTGCACACTGCCTCCTCCCCCAGAGAGCCAGACTGCTGGACTGGAAGGAGCACAGCATGGGAGGCAGGGGGGAGTCCGGGCTCTGCACATACTGTCTGCGTCCTTGGGAAATACAGCACGCAGGATAAGAACACAGACTCTCCGGTCAGACAGCCCGCGTTCGCTCGCATCCCGGCTCTGCCACCTCCTGCTGGGCGACCTTGGGCTAGTTACTCACCCTCCCCTTAGCCTGAGTTCTTCAACTGTAAACAGGGAGAACTGACCGTACTGCCATCTTGGCCATTTGTGAGGATCAAATCAGAAAACGCTCGGCGCAAGACCTGCTCAATAATTACTTGCTATGGTTTTCTATTGAACCTCTTTGAGCCTCAGCTTCCTCATCTATGAAATGGGGGTAAGAAGCAGATGCGCCCTCCAAGAGCATCTGCGAAGCTAAACAGGGTAATAGAAGGGGGTATGACTTGCAAACTTTAAAGTGCAACAAATCGGGGCGCCTGCGTGGCGCAGTCGGTTAAGCGGCCGACTTCAGCCAGGTCACGATCTCGCGGTCCGTGAGTTCGAGCCCCGCGTCAGGCTCTGGGCTGATGGCTCAGAGCCTGGAGCCTGTTTCCGATTCTGTGTCTCCCTCTCTCTCTGCCCCTCCCCCGTTCATGCTCTGTCTCTCTCTGTCCCAAAAATAAATAAAAAACATTGAAAAAAAAAAAATTTAAAGTGCAACAAATCGCAGTGTCATCATCCATTGGT